ATGTGCAGAAGTGCCTGCTGGCCCCCAGTGGCTGGGACCAAACCTCCCCCCACCCTAATCTGAAGTGTATAGCAGAGAGAAACCGAACAAGAGTCAGGGGTTGGAAGCTGAAGCCTGACCGATTCAAATGGGAAATGAGGTACAGTTTTGTAATGGTGAGGATAATTAGCCATTGGAACAACTGACCTAGGGAAGCAGCAAGTACTTTACCATCTGAAGTCTCTGAATCTAGGGCAGATCTTTTTCTGAAAGATAGGGGCTAGCTCAGCTGCACGTTATGGGGCTTCATCCAAGAATCACTTGGTGAAGTTCTGTGGCCTGTGTGACACAGGAGGTTACACTAGATGATCGTAACGGTTCCTTCTTCTTGCCTCTAAAACTTGTGAAACTCCATAGACCAAGATGGATGAAACACAGATACCCTATGCTGCCAATTACAGCGAAGGCAAGGGGTGGGGGATGGAGGATGGGCTTTTGCAGTAGCACAGTGGGTGAAAGAGGAAGAAGCCTGACTCAGCCTAGCACTGCTCTTTTGTGTGTCGTCCCACACCTCCATTAGCCAGTCCCAGGGCAGTTAGCACTAGGTAAAAGTGTTGGGAGTGCACCGATGGCACCCTTAACAAAACCGTGATTGCAACAAACCCCTCCAGAGATGTGGCCCCAGCCGCTGCCCTGCAATCTGAGCTGGCAATTGGGGAATGTCTACACGGCAATGTAAGCCCGTGGTTAGTGTGACTCGAGTCAGTTGACCCTGGGTTAGAGAACCTGGGGCTTGAGCATCTACACTGATTGTTAACTCTACGTTAAGAATGTTCTAACCTAGGCTTGAACCTGGGGCTCTGGTGTCATACAGACCCGAGTCAAACCAACCATATGTCGCACTCCTTTGTGCTATCCTGAGATCCGCTTACTCTTGCCCTTTGACAGGGTGCACTGGGGAAAACTTTGCTGTCCACCATGCACGTTACAGGAAGTTTGAACAGCTGCAAACACAGCCTGCAGAGCAACATGGAGGGAGGTGCCTTTTGAAGAACTCCTGCTTGTGCTTTTGCTCCTGTGTCAGGAATTGGGCAGAGCTTCCGTGAGACGCCGGTGGATGTTTTGGTGGCGTTTTCTGTCCCACCTGAGGCACCTGGCAAGGCTTGTGATGGAGCAGGGGGAAGAGGAGGAGAAGGCAGAGTCAGAAGACAAGGGGTACCCAGGCATGGCAGATTTGCATTGGCTGATGCTGCTCAGTATACTCAGTATAGCTGCTGATGCCCCCTATGTAGACTGGCACAGGGCTGTTGGGATCACATTGTTATGTAGACCTGGGATGACCAGCAGTGGGTCCAGAGATTTTGCATGAAGAAAGCTGCATTTCTGGAGCTTTGTGAGCAGCTTGCCCCCACCCTCCAGCATAAAAGACAAACGCATGAGGGCACCCATACCAGTCCAGAAGCAGGCTGCTTAGTCATCTGGAAGCTGGCTACCGCAGACTGCTACAGGTCCGTTGTGGCTTACCCGAAGGTGGCAGGCATAAAAGATATTCCTGAGGTAATTGCTGGCTTTGAGAGAATGGGGTTTCCAGACTCTGCCAGGGTCATTGATGGAACTCATGTGCCCATAGTTTGCCCTCCTCAAGGAGCACAAATACATAAATCGCAAAGGGTACCACTCCATTGTTATACAGACCCTTGTGGAGACTACAGGTCAACTGTGGGCTGCACTGGGAAAGTTAATGATGCCAGGGCTTTTCATTGCTCAGGAGTCTATGCTAATGGATAGGCTAGGACACTATTCCCACCAAATGATGACATTGTAATAAGTGGTGTTACTGTCCCCGCTGTTATTCTGGAGGAGCCCGCATACCCCCTTTTGCCCTGGCTTACGAAACTGTGCCTTGATTTCAGAGGCCCTGGCAAAAGATGGTTTAATTACCCTCTCAACAGGTGTAGAATGGTGGTTGAATGTGCTTTTGGCAGATTGAAATCATGTTGGAGATGGTTACAGAGCTGTTTGGATTCCAGTGTTGTCAATGTTGTCCACATTACTATGGCTTGCTGTGCTCTTTGCAATCTTTGTGAAGCCAGAGGTGAGCCCTTTCCCCCTGAATGGACCTATGACAGACACGGGCCACTGGATCGGTTCCCTCAGCCAGAAAGTGCACCTACCCCAGCTGGAGCTGGTTGCACCCAGGCCACAGATGCCAGGGATGCTTTGTGTTCTCATGTTATGGACTTGCATGGCCCAGTGGAAGCGGGGGAGTAGCACCTCTATGAATGTGCTTGTGGAGGGATGGGGCTAATTGATTTGTGGGGGTTCAGTGCTTGGGTTGGGCTGGGGGCTTGAGTGACATGCAGTGTATCTATGAATGATGTGACAGTTTATGAAATGGGGGGTGGGGAATGATTCACAGTATGGATTCATATAAGGAAGTGATTGAAGTGTGGATGGCTGTCTCTAATTGCATAGAGAATTAGTGTTTGCTTACTAATTCCTAATTGCTCCTGATCATGTGTTTACCTTTATTGTTTCAAATACAGATTGTATGATGAGATGCAGTGATAGGCTTTTTAGGTCATCAAGAAAATTTATTGCTATGTTTATAAACATGTTTTAAAACAGTACAACACCCTCTCATTGCTAGGCAGCCCAGCTGCTATTATCACACCAAAACACCAGTTACAACAGAACTTTACCAAAACAAAACAAAACAAAAAGTGCACCAACAAGTGCGAACAGTGAAATCCATCTACACAACACAGACCCTGGCCCCGCATTCTCCTTTCCCTTCTTTCCCCATTTGCCATGCACTTGACACCTGGGGAGGGTGGGTGGAAGTATCCACAGGGGAGAGGGCCAAGATGGAGGACTGCGTGGTGCTAAGTGCCCCAGCTGCTCATGGGGCCTGATTGCACGGGCCATCCAGCCGTGGAGTTGTCCAAGCTGTTTCACTACGTCCCAGGGTATGGCACAGGGCACTCAGGCCATGGTGTGGGAGAGGCAGCAGGAGCCAGTACTCTTGAAGCCATGATTGATATCCGCTACTCAAACAGCTCTCTGCTGAGCTCTGTTCTCCTCCCTTATTCCTGTTCCCAGAACTGCAAAGCCAAGTGTCTGTGCTTGTGCTGAAACCCTGTCCTCAAGCTGTGCAGCCAGCCTCAGCTTTCGTCTTGCCTCTCACCATACATTTTCTTTAGCTGCAAGTCCCCCCTGTTTCTGGTACTAGACCTGCTTGTTGGCCCTCTCCAAATGTCAACCATAGGGTGATTACGAAAACACTTCCTCTTGGAACAGTCCACAAAGGTATGTTTCAGGTTTGTGGTGCACTTGTGGGTGAGCTTGGCAGTACTGCAGCCAGTCGAGGGGCCTGGAATAGGACAAGTCACAGAGGATTATTGCCTCAAATAAGGAGCACAGAAAAAATCCCCGTGGCAGTTTCAAGGGTATAAAATATTACTTTTCCAAACTGAAATTCAGTATATTGTGAGAGGGATGTTTCAGTCCACAGAAGCTCCCTGCGCACAGCCTGGTTAATCAGAGCAAAAGAAATGCAGAGACAATGGTAAGTTAAAAATTCAGTGTTTTTGTTTTCCAAAAATTTCAGAACTACTTGGGGGCAGTCAGTGGCCTGGCTTCAAAAGCTTTTTCTATCATTTCAGGCCTTTCACATTTTGGAGGATGTAACTGTTCTTATGGTTCCTGATTGGCAAAGGGAAATGTTATTCCAAGCTGCTGGTGGGACACCTGCAGTGTATACAGCTGAAGTATTTAAATATCTAGTGACTGAACAGCACAGCTAGAAGTGGAGTTGAATTTTTAAACCTAAAGGTTTCCAAGTGCATAGTCCATAATGGGTGTCACATGATGAGAGCAATTTTTTTATAAAATATAAAAGTTATGAACACTTGAATGTATCAATTGACAACTTCAGATGATATTGAGACACTGTATATGCCTTAAAATATTGTGGGGTACAGTTAAAGTTTCAACCTTACTTTTGCATTTCCTGATTTCTTTGAGTGACTGGTTGCTCAGTTTTAACATTGGTGTTTTTGTCATAGAAATAATAATATGAAAGCTAGATTGAATAACTAACTTCAGAAGTTTTTCTCATGGTAAATTCTCCTTTAAAGTGCCTGAAGCATGCAAGGTGTCACCTTAGCAATGCCCCTGTGCTGCTGTGCAGTGCAGAGAGAAGGAAATCAAAATGATCCATTCTCATCACATGCATACAGGGCCGGCTCTAACATTTTTGTCGCCCAAAGCAGCAAAAAAAAGCACCGCCCTGCCCGTAACCCCCCCCCCCCCCGCCAGGACCGCGCC